TGAAAATTCAGACCCGTGGATTTTGCATTGCAATATCTCTACTCATGGGGCACGTAGAAGAAAAGTAAAAACACTTTTATTATGCAAATCGTACCCAAGTTCGATAGCTTGGTTACGATTAAGCGTAGTCTCAACTTCGTCTGATCAGCCGTTGTTGAGATCCAAGTCAGTGAGGGGGTGCTGGAATGATTCTGCACTTTTCGAGTTTGCTCCTAGAACTGTCAATTCGTGAACACATTTGTATAATATACAAATTATATAGCGGCCTTTTCATTGACGCTACGATTTAGCGTCAAATATAGTCACGTGACTAAATTTACCGCTCGCCTAGGGAAGGAGAAGTAGCTGCAAAATATGAGCGTCGTGAAACCACCGCTGGCTGCGTTCAAAAACACCACCCGAGCACTCCAGAGTATCATTTTATCCTTGTTTAACATACGGTGAGCAACAAGGATAGAATAATACTGGGGTATTCGAGTGGTGTTTCTAAACGCAGCCTTTGTCACACCATGGCACACTGAAAAAGTTGAGACGGTCTCAACTTTACTTTACTTTTTTTCTAATTATATATTATATTGTTATTCAGTTTTTTCTATCAAAATTTCATATATAATTCATTAAAATATAATTAATTATTTCTTGAGTTATAGACATTTGAAATTTTTGGAAATCATTATTAAAGAAAATTTGCGATAGTTACAGCAACCACAGACATTTCTCAAAAACAATTCAAAAGCACATAACTCCGAAAGTACGTAACGAAAATATACTTTATTATTTTTATAGTGTGTCCCTTTATATTTTACCCAATTAGACATAAAACACATGTTATCTTCCAAATCTGGTAATGAATTGTTAAATAATTCGTAATCAGCAATAAGGGTAATATCAATATTTTCTCCTGGACCAATTTTCATTTCAGGTAATATACTTTTACAAGCTTTCAGTCTAAAACAATACTGTAGTTGATGTTTTATAGCAATCGACTTGGCAATATTTTTTCGAGACATGTTCGTATAACAAGGTTTATTCAGAGATCTATGTTTAGCCTCAAATCTCATGGATGAATAATGAATAAATGGTCCTGACATATTTAATACTGATGAATAGTGAACTAGGTGATGAAATTTCAGTTTCGAGTTATCTCCTTTTAATTCTGTGTACAATTTATTATGTTCATATATCAAAGTATTTAACAGTAATGAATCATCTTTTACTAAAGTTCTTGATAATATAATGTCTATAATTCTTCTCAAAAGGATATATAAACACCAAAATTTATCATCTTCTGGAATCAAATCTGCTATAAGAAGTCCAAGAAATTGGACAAAACATAACATTTCAGATGCAGTCATTTTTAATTTATTTTTTTTCAAATTATCGTGAGATATTTGCGGAGGTCTATTTGATGAATCAATAGGACCAAAATCAAACATGGCTAAACGAAAATTTAATATATCCAAAGAAAAAGATTGTATATTCTTTTGAAAATGATTAAGAATCAGCAGAATGTCATAATGACACACTCCTTCTAATACATCGTGCATTATATCTACGGCAAAATTTGATGTAATGTGAAAAGAAATTATTTTATTAAAAACACATGGTTCTTTTATCCCATTGAGAGCAACATTATTAATTACTACATCTTTTTCATAGTCTTCTTTAGATCGTAAAAGTGCTATATTCTGTTCAAAAGTACTTTGTATTTCACGTTTTGTACATTTGCAAAATCTACAGGGATATTTGCAATTAAAGGATTCTGTGAATTCTGAGATACCGTGTAAACCGAGATTATCACCTAGAAGAAGAGCGAGCATAAAATATATTTTCATAGATCCTTCTGAAGTATTTATAATTATTCCCTCGCTTTCTAAAAATTGTAATTCTTCTATTAAAGGTAGAAATACGCGTGTATTGCCAAACCATTTTCTGTTTTCGCTATTAAACAATAATGTCAAAAAGATATTGTCTAATACAGATTGACATTCGGGTGGAAGACAAGGAATCATACAGTATGCAGCACCTAATTTTTCACAATGAGAACCTAAAGGATTATTTGGCTCAAAATCATCATAATATATAAAAAGGGGCAAAATAATATCATCTTTTCTATAAGAAGCAGTTTTATGTCTCCAAAGTGGGCTTTGAATAAAGTTTGAAATCCATCCTGAATCGTTTTCTGACGATTTCATGTATAACATAGTATGTATTTTGAAATGCATTAGGTAGCTCAAAAAACCTTTTTAATACTTTCCTTAACGCGATAAATTGTCCGTAAATTGGAACATGTTTCGCTTGAACTATAGATTGAGTTTTTTTTCCTTCTAACCTATGACCTATTATATATTCTTGTGGTGGAATATAATCCCCACAACTTTCAAAGCATTTGAATACCTTATATTCTGTTGATAAGTGTTTGTGTGGTTTGTCGCTCGTCGGTTTTCCGCCGTTGGCTCGGCGAAATCGCGACTCTTCCACGGAGGCTGATACAGCCTTATCAGAAGGCTCGCCGTGACAGGAATGCAAAAGTCAGTGGAGTATTCGTGCACTTCAAAATGATTTATTAAATGACGGTATATCGAACGACGTTAACTTTACAATATGAAAGCGGTAACCGAGACAGGGTAACACGTCCTATCTTCAAGCCAACTACCTTTGTTCTGACTAGAGATCCCGTGTCGTGGCGCGGAATCCTTACGAAGAGAAATCCCCTCTTTTCGGAGAATAGACACCTGCTCTCTCCGAATTGGCGGACAAATTCGAAATAAATGAGAGCGTTTACCAATAACGGCGAGTTTGACTGCGAAACATCTCATGGTCAAAACTGTTTAGATCGCGAGGTTTATTTGGGAGAACTAACGACATTCCACTGTCTCGATAGCTCTCTCTTTGCAAATACCTAACGCTTGAGAACAGAGAATTACTGTTTGAATCCGGAACATGCCGCCCGTCTCGAATGTTCTGCATTCGATAAATGCTAATATGGCAGATTAGTGCGTACAAGCAGAGTGCGCGGCGTAGATACACTCGTGGTAATAATTACAATAGATTTACAATAGTTCGTTCGTCGTTACGCGGTAACAATGGTCATCGTTGAAAGAATTATTTGTTACCGCCCGCCATGGCAGACTGTTCTTGATCGAGATTGATGTCGACCGGCAGAAAACAGATTTTCGTAATCGGGCGCTTATATTCGGAATCGGCGGTTTTGACGGTAACAACGCGAGTCAGATTATCGCTGCCCGGATGGCATTGTGCAATTCGCCCAAGCTTCCAATGACTTGGGGGCGCCAATGGATCGCGGATCAAGACCATACGACCTTGGGTAGCTAAATTTTGAACGGATCGCCATTTCGGGCGTTGTTGCAAGGTGTGGAGGTACGTATCTTTCCACGCTTTCCAGACGCGTTCGCTAATTTGTTGAACGAGTTGCCAACGAGACAATCGTTGCTCCGCTAATTCGAGGACGCTTGGTTCTGGAGCGGCGATTAAGGTGGAGCCGATAAGAAAATGACCTGGGGTTAGCGCGCAATAATCTTCGATCGAATCGGTAACAGCGGCAATCGGTCGGGAATTGAGGAACAATTCGATTCGACACAACAGCGTACTTAATTCTTCAAATGTAAGCGTGTGAGTGCCTATCGAACGTTTAAGGTGGTGCTTGACACTGCGGACTGCAGCCTCCCAAAGGCCGCCGAAATGAGGTGCCGCTGGAGGTAAAAAGTGCCACGACACGCTCTCGGTAGCTAAATAATTTTGAAATTCAGGATTTCGAATGGCGGCTTGAAAGGATGCAGTCATTTCTTTATCAGCGCCTTGAAACGTGGTACCGTTGTCGGAGTACATTGAAGTCGGAGTTCCGCGGCGCGCGAGAAAGCGTTGGTACGCAGCTAAAAATGACGCAGTTGAATAATCGGAAACTAATTCTAAGTGTAAGGCTTTGGTGGTCATACAAATGAATACCGCGATATATGCTTTATGTGATTTGTGGCCACGACCTTTGGCTATGCGAACAAGCAACGGACCCGCATAATCGACACCGGTATGTACGAAGGCTCGTGAATTTGGATTGACACGAAAGTCTGGAAGTTCGCCCATAAATTGCTCGGGAACGCGAGCGTTTTGTCGCGTGCAAGTAATACAACGATAGAGCACGGAACGCACCGTAGCTCTGGCGCGGAGCAGCCAATAATTCTGTCGTAAAATTGCAAGCGTAAGCCGAGGACCAGCGTGAAGTGCGTGAACATGAGTATGAGTGATTAGTGTATTGATGACTAAAGGATGTGATTTTAAAATGATTGGATGTTTGGTGTCCTCGGGAAGGCGTGACTTGCCTAACCGTCCTTGGACACGGATTAATCCGTTGGAATCTAAATAGGGAGAGAGCGACGCCAACGAGCTGGATTTAGGCACGACTTGGTTTTTGTAAAGGCTTGCGAGTTCTTTGTTAAACAGCTGAGTTTGAATCTATTTGATCCAAAAGATTTTGGCAATTTGTATTTCGTGAGGATGGAGGGCATATAAATTTCGCTTGGTAGCAATGTGAGGATTGTTTGTTTTCTCACGCTTAGATTTCAGGTTTTGAATGTATCGGAAGATATAGGCGGTAACTCGAAGTAATTTAGTCCATGAAGAGAATCGAGACTGTAGATCCCATGAACTTGATGCACAAGTCGCGCATAGAGTGATTGAAGCGCGTCGCTCGGTATCAACGTCTTTCGGTAGCACTGGAGTTTCGAAATTCGGTAACTCTGACCATTTATCGTCGTTAGCTTGCAACCACGGAGGGCCGATCCACCATAGAGTGTGATCGCGGAGGTTGTCGGGATCCATTCCACGGGATGCGCAATCGGCAGGATTATCGTGGGTAGGAACGTGGTTCCATTTTCCTTCGGGAAGTAACAGTTGGATTTTGGAAACTCGGTTCGCGACGAAGGTTTTCCATCGCGACGGCGGTTGCTTTAACCAGGCGAGGACGATCATTGAATCCGTCCAGCACCAATAATCGATTTTGTTGACTAAGAAAGTGGAACGGACAAAGGTCATAAGTTGAGCTAAGAGCAGCGCTGCACAAAGCTCCAGGCGAGGAACGCTCAGGATTTTAAGGGGTGCAACTTTCGATTTGGCCATTAACAACGTATTGGTAATGCTTCCGTCAGACGAGATGACTCGTAAATAGAGGGATGCCGCATATGCTTTCGTAGAAGCGTCTGAGAACCCATGAAGCTCGATCTTGTTACAACTAGGATGATAATGAGTCCAACGCGGAATGGTTATTTGTTCGAGAAGCGGTAACTTAGTTTGAAATTTCTCCCATTCCTTAAAAATCTCCGCAGGGATGTCGGCATCCCATGAGCATTTAATCGACCATAAGCGTTGTAAGAATATCTTGGCGGTGACTGTGACGGGAGCAACCCAGCCCAGCGGATCAAAGAATTTTGAAATTATCGATAGGATCTCGCGTTTTGTTTTGGCAATTGGACTTGATTGGGAAACGTGGAATTTAAACAAGTCTTGTTCCGGATTCCACGAAACACCGAGGATTTTAATAGCTTCATCGTGTTGCAGTTCTTTGCGGCCAGCAAGACCATGGTCTGACGGATCGAGATCGTTAAGGAGCGCGGGGCAATTGCTCGCCCATTTGCGCAAACGGAATCCACCTTTAGAGAGGAGCGAAATTAATTGATTACGAGTTTGCTGTGTGGATTCGAGATCATCCGCTCCGAAAATACAGTCATCGACATAGGTTTGTCGTTGTATGACGGGTACGGCAAGAGGGAAAGGAGCTCCCTCATCCAAAGCTAACTGCTGTAAGACGCGGAGCGCGAGGAACGGTGCGGCGGCAGTGCCGTACGTGACTGTAAGGAGTCGGAACTCTTCGACGGGAGCCGACGGGGAAGATCGCCAAAGAATGCATTGATACTTTGTATCACGAGGATCGATTAGGATTTGCCGATACATTTTTGCAATGTCGGCTGACAAAACGTATCGATGTTGGCGCCAATGTAAGATGACTGCAAGGAGATTGGTTTGCAGTTTTGAGCCGACGAGGAGGAAGTCGTTTAATGACTGACCATTGGTAGTTCGGCACGAAGCGTTAAAAACGACTCGGAGTCGTGTCGTATCGCTATGTTCGCGGATCACCGCTCGGTGTGGAATATAATATTCCGGTGCTCGGTCTGGAGCTTCGAACCGACCGATCTTCTCCATGTGACCGAGTTGCTGGTATTCTTCTAGGAACGCGGAATATTCCGCGGCGGTAGCAGGAGTACGTTGAAGCTGTCGCTCCACGCGGTGCAAGTTCGATAAAGCGATAGCTCGGGAGTCGCCGAGTTTTATTGGGGGCCCGGTTCGGAACGGAAGACGTACGACGTATCGTCCTTCGGCATCTCGGTAATGAGTTGCGAGGAAATGTTCCTCGCATCGTTGGTCTTCCGGGCTTGGAAGACTAGGATTCGGTATGTCCTCGATTTCCCAAAATCGACGGAGCGCTTGTTCGAGACCGTCGAAAACGGTCCCGTGGTGTGTACACACGGTATTGGAATTGGAATCGGCAATGGATCCGGAAAGAATCCAGCCGAAAGCGGTATTCTGAGCAATAGGTTCGTTAATAGCGCCTTTTCGGAGTCCGTCCCGAAGGATGACGCTATATAAGTCGGCCCCTAGGATAAGGTCGATGGGATCAGAATTAAGGAATTCAGGATCAGCTAATTCTAAATTACTGACGTGGTCCCATTGTGCTTGTGTTGGTACGCGCGCCGGTGTGTAATGAGTCAACGATGGCAATACAATTGCCGTTGTCGAATACGCAGGTGCGTGGCTTGTGGCGGGGCTGACGCGTACGCGGGCAGCGCAACGAGCAGAGGATTTCGTATTCCCGATGCCGGTGATGCAAATACTTTGGTTGATTCGGGGAAGACGAAGCAGTTGTGCAAGGTTTTCGGAAATTAATGTAGCCGCGGAACCTTGATCGATTAACGCGCGAGCACAAACAAAGCGATCGCGCGGCGAATATATTCGAACGCGTGCGGTAGCGAGGAGGACAGCTGAAGTCGCGGTCAAAGGCCTTGACACGGTGAGCGAGACAATACCGTCGTTCTGATTTGTCTTGGTTGTCTCGTTCGAACTGGAAGATTCGTCGTACGGTAACCCTGCTGACTTCGAGGTATGAAGAAGCGAGTGATGTTTTTGTTGACACTCTCGACACCGGTATTCGTTTTTGCAATCCCGTAACGTATGATTCGCGGCGAGACAGTTATAACAGCGTTTACTAGTTTTAATAAATTCGAATCGACGTTCGGGCGTGTACGATAAGAATTGGACGCATTTAAATAGAGGATGTTGTCCTTTACAAATTACGCATTCGAATTTCACCGCCGTCGAATGTGAGGAAATTGATTTAGTTGCTTTGGATTTCGACGCGGTTGGTTTCGTTGCGCTGCTTTGTTTGAATGGCGATATAACTTCGAAGGCACGGACGCGATTGTCCAAAAACTCGTTGAGTTCGGTATACGACGGTAACTCTTGGGACTCGCTTAATTTTAATTCCCATGCTTTCCGCGAAGCTTTATCAAGTTTTTGAGATACAAGGTGTATTAGAATGTCATCCCAGGTTTCTACCGAACGACCAAGATTTTTCAACGCTTGTATCGACATATTAGCGGTATCTCGTAATGTTTGCAAGTCCTTCGCGGTTTCTTGTACAACGATCGGTAACGATAAGAGCGCTTCTAAATGAGAATTAACGAGCCAACGTATATTTTCATATCACGCCGACAAGATTTGCCAAGCGACTTGGAAATTTGCATCGGTCACGGTCAACTGACTTATTGCATCGCCAGCTGACCCGGTAACACTCGCACTCAGATAGTGCAGTCGGTTGACATTGGTTAAGTTCGGATTGTTAATAATCATTGATTTGAACCGATCGCGAAAGGTTTCCCATCGTTCGAACGACCCATCGAACTTAGGTAAATCGATGCGCGGTAAGCGCGAGATCGGGCGCGTCACGATGTGATCGGTACTTGCTTGAGATGTATCGAGGCTGGCGTTCTGGGAAGTCTGCGCGGCGACTTCGGTCATGTAGTCGATGGTTGCGTCCTTGATCTCCTCACAGCGTTCAAATAGGTTGTCCTTGAAGTATGGATGTTCCAGCAAGGATTTTGCATCGGACAGGAATCGCAGCTTGGCGTCCAGCAGTCTGATTTCTCGGAACAGCTCCTTCACTCGTTCAATTCGGCTCATGGTAGTCGCATGGGTCATCCTAGCTTGACCCAGCTTCTTAAAGTTGGTGGTTGCCTTCGACATGGAGGTGATCAGCTGATTCTGCTTCTCCACGATTTCGTCGAAGGACTCCATTGGTAGTTGGATTCGGCTTGACAATGGTTTCTCGATAACTCGGTGGCGATCGTCGATTAACGTACAGTGCACGTCACAAGAGTGCGTCTTCTTTCACAGCGATCCGGCTCGAAGGACCAAAATTATGTGTGGTTTGTCGCTCGTCGGTTTTCCGCCGTTGGCTCGGCGAAATCGCGACTCTTCCACGGAGGCTGATACAGCCTTATCAGAAGGCTCGCCGTGACAGGAATGCAAAAGTCAGTGGAGTATTCGTGCACTTCAAAATGATTTATTAAATGACGGTATATCGAACGACGTTAACTTTACAATATGAAAGCGGTAACCGAGACAGGGTAACACGTCCTATCTTCAAGCCAACTACCTTTGTTCTGACTAGAGATCCCGTGTCGTGGCGCGGAATCCTTACGAAGAGAAATCCCCTCTTTTCGGAGAATAGACACCTGCTCTCTCCGAATTGGCGGACAAATTCGAAATAAATGAGAGCGTTTACCAATAACGGCGAGTTTGACTGCGAAACATCTCATGGTCAAAACTGTTTAGATCGCGAGGTTTATTTGGGAGAACTAACGACATTCCACTGTCTCGATAGCTCTCTCTTTGCAAATACCTAACGCTTGAGAACAGAGAATTACTGTTTGAATCCGGAACAGTGTTCAAAGCAGTTTCTTACAGTATCAAACAAAGCATCAATATCATGCACAACATTAGTTACATCTTGAACTTGTAACATATTTTTTATTATTTTGGACATTAACAGTAAACATCCATCAAGAATATGTTGTTTTATGTCATTAATGAAAGTCTGTACATAAGAGCGTGGAAAATTATTAGCGTACAGCTTAGCAATAAATGTTTCTACCTCTTTACTAACATGTGTTTCAAAAGCATTAAAAGAAATGTTATTCTCAACAACACACATATGTTCATTAAGATTAGAAGCACAAATATCTAACATGTTTTCATTTTGTGTTTTTTGTCAACCATTTACTGTAATTTGTAAACCATTTACTCTGATATACATTTTGATTTTGATTATGTTTCTTCATTAAATGTTTCTTTAACGTATACCATTGGTTAAAAGTACGACAACAATTTTGCTCTCCACATTGGTAAGTACTAAATATTTGTGCTTTATGTGCAATTCTAAAATGCAAACCGAGAGAATCAATAGAGGGTAGGTTTATATTGCATTGAACACAATTAGGCATTTTTAATAAAAAGAAAAAGAAAATCTTAAACATTAATGATTGCCAACTATTTTCACGTTAATACAAATTGTTTTACTAATTGTAAGAAATATAATAGCACCTGTTAAATAATAACTGTAAATGATAATAAAAAAAAGTTACGCTTTACATTTTAGAATGCACGATATTTTTCAACTATAACAGTTACAGTACTTTCTTGTTTGGGTAATTATATAGAATAATGGACCACCCTCCAATCTCGATGACCTTGACATATGTTGTCAAGGTCATGACCCTGAGTGACCTTCAGAAGGTTTTAGCCGTCGCTCGTGGCTCGTTAAAAAGTTATTAAAAAATTTCATAAACACGCAAGTTGCAAGCGCGTTTAGCACGGCGCGCTGCGCGCGCCCCACCCCCTCCCGCTCCCACCCCACCCCCTCCTACCCCTCCCCCTCCTCTCCCCGCTCCATTCCCCCTCCCCGCCCCCGCCCCAGTTAAAATATAACCCTACCCACACTATGTCCGAGGTGTGGAGTGGATCTCGCTTCACGTGGAATGATTAAGATGTTACAGAGAGAAATTATAACAATTACTTTAATAATTATTCATTTATATTTTCAGTTAATGGATACATACTAGACATTACTTCATAAAAAGCATCTAATCGTTCGTCAAAATCGTATACTCGTTTAAACATAAACTCTGCTAAATAGTGATGAAAATGGTATTCTCTACGACCGAATTGAGGAATACTTCTGCGAATATCTCTCCATACCCGTCGCAAGAAATATCAACAACAACATTTCCGAGGTGTGGAGTGGATCTCGCTTCACGTGAAATGCCGCAAACCCATATGGAATCGTATATGTACTACAAAGCACATGCTTATTACCAAAATATAATTACCAAATGAATAATTATTATAGTAATTGTTATAATTTCTCTCTGTAACATCTTAATCATTCCACGTGAAGCGAGATCCACTCCACACCTCGGACATAGTGTGGGTAGGGTTATATTTTAACTGGGGCGGGGGCGGGGAGGGGGAATGGAGCGGGGAGAGGAGGGGGAGGGGGTAGGAGGGGGCGGGTGGGGTTGGGGCGCGCGCAGCGCGCCGTGCTAAACGCGCTTGCAACTTACGTGTTTATGAAATTTTTTAATAACTTTTAACGAACCATGAGCGACGGCTAAAACCTTCTGAAGGTCACTCAGGGTCATGACCTTGACAACATATGTCAAGGTCATCGAGATTGGAGGGTGGTCCGTTATTCTATATAATTACCCTTGTTTGTCCCACGGAGTTTCAATATTGTACACTGCTTGTTGGAGAAATAACCATATTCGTTCTGATTCCACAGGATAAATCGCATGCAGTGCATGGAAAGCTTTGAAAGTGATATCAACTGCCTTTAACGTACTTTCTACTTCATACAAAGTATCGTCAATAATAATAAAATTTTGGTGAATATCTTTCAGTGTAGGTCCAATGATAATTATTTGAGGTTGCAAGGTAAGGTCAAAACTTTTTAATTTTTCTCTCTTTTTGTGCAAAGCTGGTTCAATATCTCCTGGAACCTACATGTTATTGTTTAATAATATTTGTATTCACAACATATGTATGCACGAAGAAACTTCTTATTCAAACATAAGAGAATTTTCTTCGTGCATACATAATATTAAAATACCATCACTTACATAACACATATATCTCTATGATTAGAAAATATTTATGTAAAATCAAGTTAAATTAATATTGCATTGTTATTACACTAGAATATTGTAATAATTACAACATATTGCACAAAATATGAAATATACATATACAGGGTGTCTGATGCAAAAGTAGCCATCTTGAAAATACTGGTAGATTGGGTTAAACTAAGGAAAAATATCATGTACCGCGGTACAAAGTAACAATAGTTATCGAATAATAAATTTACACGTTTGAGCGAATGAGGATGCAGGAGACGGTAGGCCGGACTCGGAAGGCATTTAAGAAAATCGATCGATGAGCGGGAGGTGGAGCGACGCGCGAGATACTATGTTTATGTTTCGGGTCGCCCGTTGCTCGCGCTCGCTGCCGCGCTCGCCGCCCGCGCCGCGCTCCCCGCCGGGCCTAGGTTTTTTTCCACCACGGTGTATCTTGCGCGTCGCTCCACCTCCCGCTCATCGATCGATTTT